ATATAAGAAGATTATTGTTATATCTTGTGCCACAACCTGAACATAGACATCATACTCAAATTTGTATTTTATGAATCCCAATTCAACCAAGTGTGAGTCGACCTTCTTGTTCCATGCCCTAGGTGCCTGCTTGAGACCATAGAGTGATTTGTGCAACTTGTATATTTTACTTGCTTTCTTCTAAATCACAAAACCAAAAGGTTGTGTGACATACACCTCTTCATCTAAAGATTCATTCAAAAATGCCAATTTCACAACTAAGTGAAATATTGACCAGCCTTGCTTGCATGCCAAGGCCACCACTAGTCGAACAATTTCCAATCTTGCGAAAGATGCAAATACTTTAGAGTAGTTGAGTCCTGCTCTCTGGAAAAATCATCGAGCTACCAATTTCTCCTTATGCCTTGCTATCGACCCAACAACATTGTGCTTCAACTTGAACACCCACTTTACTTCGATAATTTTTGTATGAGCTGGCAATTTGACCAACTCCCATGTGTTGTTTCTTTCAATTGCTTGTAACTCTTCGACCATAGCAAACTTCCATTGTTTATCTTTGAAGGCTTCGTTATAGTTGATTTTTTCAGCAGCTGCAAGTAAATCAAAATGAAGTAGTTCCCCATATATTGTGACTTCATCATCACTAACCACTTCATAGTCTCGAAGTCTTCCTGGACGAGCTATAATTCGTTCAGATCTCTGACTTATGCCATCCATATCCTCTTAGACTTCAGCTGTATCGAGAGTGTCAACAACTGTTTCGACTTCTTCTTTGACTGAAGTATCAACAATTTCTTCGACATCGACATCATTACTTGCTTCGTCGAAATCATAGTTCATCAGTGGCTTTTCAATTCCAATCCCATTCAGAATTTCCATCAATCACAATGTCTCGACTTATCACAATCTTCTGATTAATTGGATTGAACATCCTGTATTCTCCAGTCTTATGATATCCTACCAGAATCATAGGTTCACTCTTATCATCAAGCTTCCTTCTCATTGTATCAGGAATATGCTTGTAGCAGATAAAGCCAAACACCTTTAAATGACTCACTGATGGTCGTTTTCCACTCCACTTCTTCAGAAACCTTGTTCTTCAGCTTTTTTGTAGGGCGTCTATTCAGAATGTAAACAGCAGTCAAAAAAGCTTCACCCCATAAGAATTGTGGCAAATTCTTCTACTTCAACATACATCTCGACGTGTCTAATATGGTCATGTTTCTTCTTTTTGCTATTCCATTATGTTGAGGAGTATAAGGAGCAGTTACCTCATGATCAATATCATGTTATGCATATAATGCTTTAAATATCTTGGATGTGTATTCACCACCTCCATCTGTTCGAATAACTTTAATTTTATTTTCACCATGGTTTTCGACAAGTATCTTGAATATCTTAAATATTTCAAATACTTCAGCCTTTCGCTTGATCACATAGATCCAAAGATTTCGACTATACTCATCGACAAATGAGACAAAATACTTGTTTCCACCAATGGTATGCTCTTCAAAAGGACCACATACATTTGAATGTACAATTTCGAGTATGTAGGATAATCTTATTGGCATAGTCGAAACGAAAGACTTCTTGAACTGCTTTCCGACTAGAGAACATTCACAAGCTTGTCGGGCATCTCAAGACTTGGTATACCAGTTACCATAGCTTGAGTGATCAGTTGATTTAGCAACCTAAAGTTCAGATGGCCAAATTTCAGATACTACAACCACTTATTCTTGTGATCGACAACTGTTTTCAGACATTGTACCTCAGTCGAACTGATCATGGTATTAAATGTTCTATTCTTTGATAGAGAAGATTTCAAGACCAAGTTATTCTGGATGTCGAAATGTTATAAGGCTCCATCTTTCATAACCACTGAGAACCCCTTTTTGACTAGTTGTCCAACACTTAGTAGATTGCACTTCATTTCAGAGACATAGAGTACATCTTTGATCAAGGCTTTTGCTCCATTACTCCTTTGAATAACTATGTTGTCGGCACCTTCTGCTTGCAACAAGTTATTATCACCAAGTTTGACCTTACTCTTCTTCGACTCATCAAAATTTACTAACCACACTTTTCGACCAGTCATGTGATTCGAGCAGCCTGAGTCGAGGAACCAGATCTTGAATTCGACATGGTCATCTACAACTGCAACCATAACCACCATATCATCTGAATCATCTAAATCTTGACGTGCAAAGTTTGCCCCTTCGTCCTTGTCTTTTGTCGAACCCTGTGCCAACAATGCTTGGCCAAGTGACCCTACTTTTTATAATTATAGCATTGCATACCTTTTTCTCTACTTTGTCTTTCTGATAGGAATTCCCTTCTCCTCTTTTCGAGGATTCAAAAGTTCTATCATCAATCTCATTCTTGTGAGGATTCGAGCAAGACTTCTTGCCCTGAGTCTTGTCGATTTTGCCTTTGAATTTTTTGGAACCACCATTCTTCTTCCACGATTGAGCCTGTAGTGCTTGTATCGAGTCTTGAACTCATTTCCTTTCGACAATCCTAATCTCATGCGCTTCCAACGAACCAACCAAACCTTCCAGTTTTAGGGTTTCAAGATTGTTGGATTCTTGAATAGGTACGATAACGTGATCAAAATGAGAGGTCAACGTACGTATTACCTTCTCAACTATCATCTTATCAGATAGATTTTCACCACAACCCTTCATGAGATAGACGAGTTTTTGCACCTTCGATACATAGCTTGCAATCTTTTGTCTTCTCCCATTGACAACAATTCAAATTGTCGTCGCAAAGTTTGCAACTTGACAACCTTGACTTTCTCGCCACCTCCTTCATAGTACTTGACAAGAATATCTCATGCCTCATTTGTCGATTTAACATGGGTGATTATGTCGAAATTAGCCGCATCAACTGTCGATTGGATGTAAAATTCCGCCGTGCAATCCTTCTTCTTGGCATCCTTGTGAGCGGCTCTCTGTATGTCGGTTGCATCTTCACCAAGCGCAGGAACACCGTTAGTAACCACTTTTAGGATTTCACGAAAGCCAAATAGAGATTGCATTTGTTTTCTCCATCAAAGTCAATTCTTGTTGCCAAGACTTGGAAGGGAGTTAGGTAAACTTCTGTTACCATTCATTTTTACAGCGATTGGTCAATAACAACCCACGATTCCGAAAACACGATCTCTGACGTGTGATTCTTGAAAACACAATCAAGATTCTAGCCGGAGCTCTAGCAATTTGATAGTGCGTGAGGCACTTTTAGTGAGGAGAGAAAGAGCAAATAAAGAAAAAAGGATTAATATTATTAAATTAATAAATCTGAATTACAAAGTGTTTATTTATATACATTAAAATAATAAACTAAATAACAAACCTTAAATCCTAATTAGCTTTGAGTTTGAACTACATAATACAACTTAGATTATATCTAATATCTCAACAAATTTCTACATTCTTTTTCTCACATTTTAAACATTTAAAAGAATTCACACAAAAATAACTTAAAAAATCTTTGATATAAAGTTACCTTAATTTTATTATAAAATGACAAATGTGTATGATTTATTGTAAATTTTATTTGTAAATGATTTATAATGTAAATTTCATTAAAAACTAAAAATTTCTTCTTAACATATTCTAACATACTGAAGTGTGAAAAAACTGTCCAAGAATTTCTACAAATTTTAAAATCTTCTAAAATCTGAATAAATATAGAGAAATACACCAACAATGCGTAGGATTTATCCATAAATTAAAATCCATACTCTTTTCTTGGCAAAAATAGATATGCTGAAGAAGTAATTTAATTTAGAATTTAATTGATATGATATGAGTTAACTACATATGCTAATTTATGTAAAATATTTAACTTTTATTTTAACTATTTAAAAAAATAATAATGTAAATTTTTTTAGACTTACCAATACATACCAATTAATCTCTTTAATTTAATGTATAATAGAGTCATCCAAATTTTGAAATCCAAAGTGATTACATGTAATGAACACCACCATAAAGTTTTTATACCACATTTGTCAAATTTTAGTGGTAATACCACATTTGTCTGAGACGAAATAACCATTATCACAATTGTGAGTCCGGTTCGAATTGACCAGAGAAGCTTATGTACACCGCATGATTATCAATTTATTTTAGAAAGGAGAGACATTCATCCAGTCATGAATCAAGTATTACAATAAAAATAATAAGAAATAGTATATATATATATATATATATATATATATATATATATATATATATATATATATATATATATATATATATATATATTACAAACAAAACCATAGATTTCAAGATAAAAACAAGTGACATGATGAAATTATATATTACCACTTATATAAACTTTAAAATAATTTAAATTCAAGTCATAAATCAAAATAAGAGAAAATAATTGTCATAACTATTTACAAAGCATACAAACAAAAATTACTAATTTGGATATTTGAAAACGAAGAATAAGGCTAGAATATCTTAAAAAGATAGGAGCATGGCAAAATGAGGCGGAATGGAATTAAATCAAATTGAGCAGCGCAAAATAAGGATTTCGTTCTACCAACAACCTCGTGCAAGAACTAGCCAGAATCAGTTCAGGAGTATTCTACTTTAGTGAGTAAAATTTTACAAATAAGCAGCTAACACTGTTAAACATGCATAACCAATCGATATCATCAGCACCAGAATTTTATAAAATTTACAGCAGTTAAACGATTGTGTTGTGTTTTTATAAGGAGGAGCAAGAATAACTTGAAAGTACAAAATCGAGAAGAAAATGATACTATTACACAATACACAAGAGACATCACAATTGAGTTACACATCTCCCAGCATCAAAACCAAACAAGAAATTGTCTCCTCCAACTGTATCCTTTGCATCCCATGAACTAAATGCAGATCTCAAGAATAACATGACACCATTTAAAACAAAGGAAAACCCTGTCATAGTAACAAATAAACGAAACAACCTATAGATATGTGGCAAAAAAGGAAAGGGAGATTGGATCAGAGAGGAGTATGGTAATACCCGTTTGGAGGTCCCATTCCATGGACTGGGGGCATTCCATAAGGCATAGGACCTCCACCATAGTATCCATTACCGTTCAATTTGGTCAAGCTAGATTGGCCTTGCATCCCGTCCCTTGCATACTGATGCCACAGCTGCTGCTCATTCACAAGCAATTGCTGTTTCTTCTCCATTTCGGCCATTTGCACATAGGAGGGAGGCGGAATGTTCAAAGATGCTGCGAATGGGTCTTGGTTAACTGGCTGCACAGATCCATCTGGGGCAGGAAGAGCTAAAACAGGTGTTGTGGTCTTTCCCGGTCCTGGCAATGCCACACTGCTTGCACTCCCTCCACTAAGTTGGGAAGTGCTGACGTGCTGCCTGACCATTCCTTGATCATACATACCATTCAACAATAAAGGATCTAGCCCACCACCTAAATCTGCTTTCTGCCTTGATAAATTGCTGGCTGTTTCTACCAGCGCCAATTCCCAATCAGCTTTCCCAGGTTCTGCAGCAGGGGTCTGCCAAGCTGAAGTTACTTCTGGCTGTCCATTTGATGGAAAGGCTTCCCAGGATCCATTGGCATTATTAGCCGGTGCACCAGCAAATAGTGCCAAAGCAAATTTATTACCCTGGTCATCTGCAGTGACTGCATCCTCTCTCAGATTCATCAAGTCTTCTGTAAACTGTGGCTTTGGCTCAGGCTCTGGTACAGGCGGAGGAGGTGGGGTATAATTCTCAGGTGGAGGCAGGGCCTTGATCTCGTTCATATCTTGTACCGGCTCCTCCTCTTTCACTTCCACTTTGGGAGCTTCCTCTTTCCTCTCTGGACTTTTAGGCCTCTTGGCCCTATCCCTCACAAACTCCTCCAGCGTCTCCAGCAACTTACTAGTAATTCTCTGAACTTCTGGGTACTCGGAGGATCTCGCTAAACCACTATCTTTACACCAATTGTAAAAGGTAATCAGTTCGTCGATTTGTTTGGCAGAACTTGCATAAGCATCAAAGGCCTTCACGCAATCAGGGTACTCCATGTCAAAGAATTTGTCAAGCAACACAGCCAAAACCTCACATATATCTGCATACAGCTGAAAGCTCTCCTTAACTAGCGGATACAAAGCAACCAAAACCATCCTGCTGTTCTTCGCCAACCCAGTTGGCCTACAAGACAAGAATCGATCCAAGAGCCTCTGCAAATGACCCATTTTACCAAAAATCCTCTCCGGCTTCATATCCCTCAAAGGAGTAACAGTTACAATCCTTCTATCATCCTGCCCCGCTGCATCAGCCATATCCCCATACGACCTCGTCTTCCTCATCCCACTCCCACCATCCCCTCGACCTCCATACTCATATTCATTCGGTGGCGATCTGAAGTTTTCCCTTCCACCAAACCTATCATCCCCACCGCCACCACTACCAGAACCACCACCACTACCCCCAACATTAGTCTTCCTATCAAACAACATCAACTCAAGCCGCTGATCAAGATACATCGCATACGTCCTAACAAAAGCAGAATGATCCCAAGAACTAGAATGCGCCTCATCCCTAAAATCCGACATATTCAAAAGCCTGGTCCCCCTCCTAGTGGCATACAAAATTTCCTCCTGAAAAATCACCGTCCCTTCATTCATCAGACGATGAACAAGTATAAGAGCCTTCAACGCAACAATCCAATCCCTCGTCTTCCCCAACCTCTTCGACACCGCCGCCACACAAGCGTTCACATAGCCACGTGAATAAGACATCAAGTTCAAAATCTCCCTCACGTACTTCTCACTCGCCGGATCCTCATCATGACTCGTCGCCTTCACAATCGCCACCTCCAACTCCGGCGCCATATTACTCGCCACCTTCGCTATTCCAATACTCGTCTGATCCTTCACCGCACCAATCGCCTTCCGAATCGTACTCGAAGCCATACTTCAAGAATCCAACACTAAACTTCTCCGATCAAATCACTTAATTACAAACTCACTTCACAAAACGGTTATAACAGAACGAAGTAGATTAGATTTGAATTAACTGATTTTCTTAAAGTAGAAAATCAAATCAAAATCAAACCCTAATAACCGTTCAATTCAAATTCAAATTCAATTCAAGTATTCAAGAGTCAATACAGAGACAAATCCTCGAAGCTTACCTCAGCTTCTAGATCCGGATCCGAATCGCTAGGTCCGGTTCTACAGGAAGAAGGACCAATGAAGAAGGGAAGTTGAAAGGTCAATGGTGTTGCGAAGAGTGTTTCAGATCTGTGAAAAAAAGTTGAAAGTTAAAGATACTATAGGTAGGTACCGGAGAAATAGATGTATGAAGAAAAGAATAGAGAATGGGTTGGGATTGTGTGAATTTTTGTTAAGATACGACGCGTACGGTTTACGGTGATGTGATTTTCTTTCTTCCTGATAGTTTCCTTTTCTGTTGTGATGAGGACACGGGAACCGGATGTTCCGGTTGTTAGGTTAGGTGGGTCCAGCTCAGATCGTCGGTGGGAACTGGGTAAATAATGATTATCTGAAATGTTTGGTATTTACGGTAAGGATTAATTAGTGTGAGATTTTGTTTGATACGCTTGCCTTTTCTGGGTTTTTAGTCTTTTTATGCATTTTCCTTTCTTTTCTATGGTTCGTTTTTTATTACTCATTATTGGGTTTGGTTCTCAGCACTATAGTCAGATGAGTCAAAGAAATTAAAGAAAAAGCACGTTCTCGAAATTCTATTTTAGTTTTAATAACTTTCTATACTTTTCTCTTATAGGTGGAGTTATATAGATACATTATACATTTGAATTTTATTATTTAGTGTAATATTTTTGTGATAACTAAGGTGTAGAAAAACATGTACCTCGTATCTTCTTTACTCAATGATGACCATAATTGAATTCTATTATGGAAAAAATTGAACTTATACACTTTTGGATTGAAATTATTTATTTATTTTTATTTTTATTATCGTATATTATCTCATACTTGAATTAAGATTAGTGTAAGCTTTGTCAAGATTAATTTAAGCATTAGATTATATTTGTTTTTTATATTAAAATTTGATTTAATTAGATTGAAATATAAAATTACATTCAAATGTTTTCTTTTTAATAAAAAACTAAACATTAAATTAGGCAATCATATTGTGTAAGAATAGAAGGTTTTTTAAGAGTTGAAGTATTTGTTAGGCTATGGAAAGACACATCAATGTTTGATCGAGTGCAATACAAGTGAGAAAGACGTTATATATTCATCTAAAATTAAGGATATTTTTGGGCCGGTTTACTCGAGATCTACCTGTGAACCGACTCAATAGAATCGGATCAATGGATCGACTCAATGTTATCGGTCCGACAATGGTGTTCGCATGCAGTTTTCGCGCGAACAACCTCTGGCCTCCTAACGCAGATTTACTTGTGGGACCGACCAAATAAGTCCTAGAACAGTCTGGTCGAGTTTATGCGACATTGGTAGAATAATTTTGTTTAGAATAAATTAGAAACAAACTTGAATAAAAATGTACACTAATTGAAGAAACAAGCAAATAAAATAAACAAGTAAAAAGGCAAGATATCTTAAAATTTGGTTATGTAAATTGCTTTTAAAAAAAATGTGGACGCTATCATACATTTTGCAGGAGTGAACTCTTTTCTCTTAACGCATGGTACTCAGAGTGTATTTCCTTCACAATGTTACAAAATGTGCCCTTAAAATGAAAATGGGCATTGCTTTAAATAGGAAAAGAAAATAACTGTTGTTTTCTTCATGTTGTTCTTGGTGGCGCCACATGTTCATACATGTTCTTTGTAACTTCCCCACGTTCCCAGCTTTCAAATTTCCTCCCGCTCAAAGGTTCTCATACTTCGTGTCGGTTTCCTTGACCATCAGTCGACACCTTCGACGGAATAACATTGAGTCGACTCACAACACCCCTTCTGCTGACGTCGACTTATGTCGTTTCCTTCACCATCTTCTTAACCTGTTGACCCACATGCTAGCTTTTATGTCAACTTTTCTCAGTCGAAATCTTCCAGCCAAGAAGATGCCCCCCAAAAATCCAATTTTGACGGAGCACTGTGTCGACTGAGAAACTTGGCGTTTTGGTTTCCTGTGAGATTTCGATTGTACCTTGGTTCTGACCCAGCAACACAATCATTTTCCTTCTGTCGAGTCAGTCACGCGTCACCCACAGTCTGACGTAATAATAGCGCATTTTTGCACCACAATTTCCAAGAAAACTCATCATGCCTAGTCGCGTCCTACGCTATGGGATTTAAGCCACTCCCACTCACTCTAGAATCGAAACATACCCTTTCCTTTTCAACTGCATGCAACTTGTCTATAAATAGTTCTTGCCCACATTTGGTTTTCTTTTCCATCTTCTCTCACACTTTCCTTTCCTTGCATCTTTTTGCTCCCAAAGTTCTTTTGATCTTCTCTTTCAATGGCATCTTCAACCGCTTCTGCTACTCACATCACCGGAAACAACCTCATTTCTTTTGTTCTCTCTGAAGCTGAATCCCTCATGCCTCTTCTGAATTCGACGTATGTTGATGACGCGGTGATAGCGACCTGGCAACGCCAGACAGGGACGGATCCATAAATTTTAGTTTATGGGGGCAATATATATATATATATATATATATATATATATATATATATATATATATATATATATATATATATATTAAAGATTTTTATATTTTAAAGTTTTGAAATTATTATTTTTTAAAATAGAGAAATGAATGATACATCGACGGTATAACTTAATTTTATATTGTTAATTAATGATGACCATCTATTTCGTCAAATCAAATTGAAATTTTTAAATTACTTATATGATATGATAAAAAGATATATTTTATTAGATTGTAGTTGAAAATTTTATTACACTATTAATATATAACTATTAAAGTCTTAAAAATATTGAAAAAAAATTTTGGGCAACATTTGAATTTAATTAAGTAAAAAATAAAATTATTAAATTTTTTTTAACATTATAAACAAAAGTGGGGGCAGCTGCCCTCAAAGTAACTAATGTGGATCCGTGTCTGACGCCAGATGATCATACCTTTTGCGGTGGCTGGAAAATTGCACACTTTCCATGGGTCATACCCTGACATGAAACCCAGCCATGAAGAACTCCGTGCGTTTTTCCCTTGCTACCTTCTTACCATTCGCCCTGCATTTCAGAAAGGTGGTGCCTTCGACCTTATGTTCATGGCGCCAAAAGCTCGATTTTTCCGGTCGATGTCCACTCCAGGCAACAAATACTACATCTTCTGGCTTAAAGAGTCCAAGGCGAGCGTCAAGAGAAATGGAAGACAGCTGGCATCTTCAACACTATTCAACTCTCCAGGAATGCTCATAGGCTTAACCCTTGCCTACTGTTGGTGTGTATGTATTTCTAGGAGGGGTCGACCAACACATTCCATTTCCCCTGTGGTGTGTTGATTGTTGCACCTCGAAAAATACGACCTCATGGAGAAAGTTCGCGGATGAACTAACAGAGAGTCGCCACCGAACTTTATTTATTCCACAAAGGGAAAGGGAAAATATCGAGAAAACCCACGGGAAAAGGATAGGACATGGTCATCGCAACCATGTTATATAAGGAGAAGGTACTAGAACTCTCTACATCCATCGTACTCGATGGGAACCATCTAAGTTGTCTAGACATGAAAGGTATTCGATATCTTATTGCTTCCTAAGGGAAAAAGTTGATGATTACTTGAGGGAAAAATGAAAGATTTTTATTATTGAGTTAGTCTGAGTTTTCAACCCAGTGCTGTTGCACCCCAAAATTTGACCAACATTTATTTACCCATCAAGTGTTTGAAAGTTGATACCTTCATCAGAAAGTTCAAGAGGTCCTCAGAGAAATTGGTTGAAACTAGAGTTGTGTGCCTCCTAACTTGAGAGTTGTGGGTGCTCCTCAGATGATTCTGAGACTTTGAGAATGAACTTGAAGCTTTGGGAAAGCTTATGAGATGTCTTGAAAGCCATCATGAAGCCCAGAGAGGTCATTGTGCAAGAGTTCAGAAGATTCAACCATGAATGGTAGAATTAGGGTTTTGACTGGGTCAACCCTAAGTCAACTGAAGATTTGGAGAAGGTTGAGACCTAATCCAAGGGCCATGAGATCATGGAATGATGTATGGAGATGTTATAAAGATGATTCCTAGACCAACTCATAATGATTGAGGAGTTTGAGAAGTTTTAAGTCAGGGTTTCTAAGGATTGTCAGTGAAAAAACCCTAGTTTGATCCCTATCTTTCAGGCAGTTTTAGTTCAAGATGTGGTTGATATCTCATCTTCCCCACAACATGAATGTTGTAGATCTTGTTCTTAGCTTTAATTTGAGTGGTAGAAGTCCTTGATAGGATGTGCAGAGCTCAAGTTATGGTTTTGACAAATTACAGGTCATCTGAGGTGTGTGAATCTGAGTCCTTGAAAGTCACCCAACTTGCAGACAACTTTTTCCATAGTAGGATGATTCCTATGATCTCTTGGTCAACATGAATGTTGAAGAGCATCTTCTTAGCTTTCTAGAGAGTACTAGAAGTCCTTGATAGGATTTGTAGAACTCAACTTATGGTTTGAATAAGGCAGGGGTATTTTGGTCATTTGGTGATTATAGGTCATTTTAAGCAAAGGCCATATCTCCTATTTCCAAGCCTCAAATGAAAAAACTCAAAACATCAAAGTTGTTCAAAATGGCATTTTAAGCCTAGAAAAGTGGTCATGAGTTGTTGGAAAAGCTTGTAGCAAGGATTTACAAGAATGGTTGAAAATGACCTAAAAATGTCTTATAAGTTAAATGGATCCAAGTTGGAAATTGGTTTGGGAGATCTAGGAATCCAAAATAGGTCATCCAATATGTCATTTTGAATCCAAACATCATTTTAAAAACAATGGTTTAAATAGATTTTTGGTTT